TTCTAGAGTGAGATGGGCGCACAACCCTAGAGTCTGTCAAGACTGGCCCGTACGGGCAGGGGTACCTTTACCTTTATTGTACTTGTACTGCCCGAGGACCTCTGGGATTTTCCACCTCCAGTGACAAAATAACTCAACCACTCTTGGGTCCCTTGCATCTTGTGGCGGGCCAAATTTGTTCCTCCACATGAGGCACAAAATGTCTTGGTCCAGCCTTGAAGAGCAGGGTGGGTGAAAATGCGAGCAAAGCTGCAAAATGAGTCTAGAAACAACCATTCATGTTGGGAGAAACTCCATATCGAATGCTGGTGGAGGCTAGGTGAAACCACACTGGATTCTATTGCCATGGTGACTGATACCCATTGGGACTGGTAGGGCAGAAGACAGAGAGCCCAACAGTAGGTGAAGACAGAGAGCCAATATCAAACAGAGCCTACTAACTCTAGGCTGGCCCCCATCCTCCTCTTTTCATGAGTTCTACAGGGGACAACACTGAGACTAAGGAGGATGAAGCTGACAGCCAGGGCCACACTTTGGACCTGTTGTAAGTAAGATGGCAGCCAGGTGGAGGCTGTCTGAGGGCAGAATGAGCTTGATGGGAGTGTCCCATTCACTCTAATGGACTATCCTCCAATGTCCATTGTAGTTCCTAATGACACAAACTAATAGAAAACTTTTCACAATCTATAATACAGTGGTACCTCGGGTTACATACGCTTCAGGTTATATATGCTTCAGGGTACAGACTCCGCTAACCCAGAAATAGTGCTTCAGGTTAAGAACTTTGCTTCAGGATAAGAACAGAAATCGTGCTCCTGCGGCACAGCCGCAGGAGGCCCCATTAGCTAAAGTGGTGCTTCAGGTTAAGAACAGTTTCAGGTTAAGAACGGACCTCCGGAATGAATTAAGTACTTAACCCGAGGTACCACTGTAGTAACATTCTGCTTTGAGGCTAAATTCATGTTCGTAGTTTAAGAAGTCACAAAACTCAACAGTGTGGCTTGTGTGATTAAAAAGCTGTAGGTTTAAACATATGGGGGGTGACATACAACTAAATTATACTCAGAGTAGACCTACTGAAATAGACAAGTTCATTGATTTCAGTAGATCTACTCTGGCGAATGTTAAGTTAAAAACCAGATGAAAGAGGTTGCACCATAAATTCAAGAAACTGTGTAATGAAAACCTGGATGGTCCCAATCTAATGCATGTTACAGGTAGGTAGCCGTGTTGGTCTGCTGTAGTCGAAATAAAATAAATAAATAAATAAATAAATAAATAAATAAATAAATAAATAAATAAATAAATAAATATTCCTGTAGCACCTTAAGACCAACTAAGTTAGTTATAGGTATGAGCTTTCGTGTGCATGCACACTTCTTCAGATACACTGAAACAGAAGTAACCAGACCCTTATATACAGTATAGTGAGAGGGTGGGGAGGGGTATTACTCAGAAGGGTGGTGGGAATGGGTGATTGGCTGATAGGTGTGGTAAACCTGTTGACAATACAACTCCAATTGGTCTTACAGGAAAAAGCAATGGGTGAGATGGCTAAAAATAGCTTTATCATGTATAATGAGATAAGAATCCAGTGTCGCTATTCAGACCAGGTCTCTCCATGGTTTTAAGTTTGGTAATAAGTTGCAACTCAGCAACTTCTCTTTCCAGTCTATTTCTGAAATTCAGCTACTTTGAGATCTTGTATAGAAAGTCCTGGGAGATTGAAGTGTTCTCCTACTGGTTTCTCTGTCTTGTGATTCCTGATATCAAAAGAATTTCAGAAATTGACTTACCGTAGTTGGTCTCTAAGGTGCTAGTGGAAGGAATTTCTTTATTTCTTTATTTTATTTTATTCATTTTATTTCGTTTCAATCTAATTCATGTTTGCTTAAAACTTCCCACAGCTCATTTGCACCCATGTCTGCTTAAAACTGAACCCTGTTTTGTTCAGTGGAGTTTACTCCCAGGTGAGTGATTATAGAGCTGAAGCCTCACTGGGCTTACTTATAGGTAAATGTGCATGGATTGCAGCCTTACAATGTGATCCCACTCAGTAGTAGTCCCACTATGGGTTACAGTGCCAAGTACACTTATATGCAAGTTAACCTCACTGAACTCCATGGGACTTATTTCTGAGCCAGCATAAATAACATTAGCAAGTTGGGTCCCTTCGTGTCCCTTCCAGCCAGAGCCGGCCCAATGTAGTTTGGCACCTGCGGTAAACCACAAAATGCCATCTCCCTCCCCACCAGCGAAGAAGGGGTGAGCAAAAATCGACACTGGAAACAATGGAGGAATAAGGATCTACATTGGGATCTGCTGCCCCTGGGGATCCTGCTGCCTGAGGCGGTCACCTCACATTGTCTCTCATGGGCGGACTGTCCTTGCTTCCAACTCTACAATTCTGTGATTTTAAGCTAAGAAGATATAAGCTAGCTGACATAACTAGCTTAACTAATTTATTGTTCAAATTGTTCAAAAGGGGACACACACACACATCATATTTGTAACTTAGTGTGGGGGTACATTATTATTATTTATTTAAAAATGCATACAAAGCATGTAAGCACTTCTAAGTGTTGTACATATATTGGAAGATAAGCCATTAGTCCTATAAAAAAAGAGGTAAAGGACCCCTGGATGGTTAAGTCCATTCAAAGGCGACTATGGGGTTGCAGCACTCATCTTGTTTTCAGGCCGAGAGAGCCAGAATTTGTCCACAGACAGCTTTTCCGGGTTGTGTGGCCAGCATGACTAAAGGGATTCAGGCACAACGGAACACCGTGACAGAAACCAGAGCGCACGGAAATACCATTTACCTTCCCACTGCAGTGATACCTATTTATCTACTTGCACTGGTGTGCTGCTAGGTTGGCAGAAGCTGGGACAGAGCAATGGGAGCTCATTCCATCGCAGGGATTCAAACCGCTGAGCTTCTGATCGGCAAGGCCAAGAAGCTCAGTGGTTTAGACCACAGCGCCACCCATGTCCCTAGTCAAAGTAGTAGGTGAAACCTGTGTCCATATTCCTACTTGTGCTATGAAATTCGCTGGATGACCTTGTCTCTCACTGAGTTGTTCTGAGGGTAAGATGAGATAGCCTTATCCTCATTTGAGGATGAGGGACATAAATATGACTAAAACACTGAAAAATAAAGATGGTATCTCAGGCCGGATCATTTTTCAAGCTGCCCATTCTTACTACTTTATAGCGTTGCCTGATACCATTGCCTAATTGTAGGGAAATGAACACCAGGGTTCAACTCTCTTTGAAAACAATGCCCTACTATAGAATCCTTGACTGCTCTGTGACTCATTAGTGAGGAAGACAAACTCTTCACCTGGAGCATTTTTTAAAATGCTGGCAATCCAGTCTATGCCTTTTCTAAGCCATTCTGTTGAGGTTTGTCCTGTTTGGGGGCTGAATCCTGGCAATAGTTCAATTGCATTCATGTCCTGTTTGCAGGCTTCTTATTTATTCATGTACTGTATTGCAGTTATATATCTCACTTTTTTCTCCTAGGAGCTCAGTGTGACATACGTGGTTCTGTTCTTCCCCTTTCTTATTTAATCGCCACAATAGCCCTATGAGATAGATTACCATAGATTGAGTGCTGTGATCTCACAGACCACAGTCCAGCACTCTAAACATTATGCCACACTGGTATCTGATTGGCCACTGTAAGAATAGGATGCTGGAACAGATTATTTTCATACATTCTTACGGTGAAAAGAATTTCTGAAGCTGAATCCTGTTAGTATGTTCAGGGTGCCAGGAGAGGATATATTGTTTATTAATATCCTTACTAACTTGAGCTAGCAAGTTCCTTTACTTAGCAAAGTTTACATTCCCCTTTTTACATGCACAGCAGATAGCTGGTTGCAGGCTTGTGTAAACCTCTCACTATTATACAATTCAATCTGTCTCAGACTGAATTGTACATTCCTGGTACGTACCCTTGAATCCTTCTTAAAAGAATAAAGACACCACAATCTCATTCAAAGTCAATAAAATAAGTTTACTTCAGTGTGATGCCTGAAGGCAGACTTACAAATATGTACATGAGGATCTACCCCAAATGGGGGAATAATCCCAGTGCTTCTGCTAGCTGAAAGCAGAGCAGTCCTAGCTAGAAGCTGGTCAAACTAAAAAGGAAGTGAAAAAGAGGGAGGTGTGCTGCGTGACTCATCCTTTTGTTACCTGGACAGGTTAGGTCACACCCACCTTCTATCACATGCATAAGGAAGGATGCTCCAGCCCAGGAGAAAACAGGAAGTTTCAACTGGCTGGACGAAACATCCCCTTTCATGTCCACTCTAGTAAAACAAGGAATGTTGTATTTGACTGCTCCCAGTGGATTACATCCCACAAATACTAGAAAGTCCAGGCTAAAACAAAAGCATCCAAATGATAGTTTTCACATCCTGTGCAATATTTCTAGTAAAACATGAGGCTTTAAAAAAGAACAAGGAAAAATAATAATGCTTTGGGAGAATATAAAACAGTTGGCTGTAATTATAAAGAGGAAGGCTTTATTACAACTTTCTGTGGTCTTTATGGTTCATAGGGGAACAGTAATGTGGCCGGAAGTCACTTCTGACATATTTTAGGCAAAGAAAATGACATATCCTAAACCCACACACCAAATGGTTGATGGTGGACTTTGCTATAGTGTGTGTGTGTGTGTGTGTGTGTGTGTGCATATATATAATGCTTTTATTGTTTTACTGGATTCTTTACCCCCCAGCCACCAGCAACAATGGCACTGCATTGCAATCTGGTAGGACTGAAGTGTACTCTAATTTGAACAGTGTTAAATGTGGAATTGAAGAACATTTGTATTTTAAAAACTGAGCTTGGTATATAGGTTAAAAACTGTGTATATCTCACCAGGGATACATATAGCTCAGAAATTAAGCTGTCTTCCTTAACGATGTTGTGGTATAAATTTGATGGGGGCTGATAGAAAGCTAACATTTATTTTCTCTTAAATACAGGAAGCTGATATACTCTGAAGAAGGAATGATGAAGCACGTGGATTAAATTTTTAAAAGAAACAGAAAAGGGGGAGGACAAATGGTTCACCAAATGGTCAGCAAGCCCTACTCTGAGGGCCATTTGTTCAGATTTTCTCTGGAGTGATAAAGCAAGGCCTCAGTAAGGCACACATACGTAGGAACTTCTAAAAATATCCTATATGGTTTGAAGGAAGAGGAAGTATGTGTCCTTTGACACAACTGATGTAGAATAATAGAATTCAGCCACACGGATGCTACTAGCCCAGAGATGAAAGGGCAAATCAAGTTGATGGACTATGCCAAAATAGCAAAATTAACTGCGAAGCTCAGAAATCAAGGAGACAAGAACTTTAAAAAAGAATGGGAAAAGTTTCTACTTTATACAGTGGTACCTCGGGTTACAGACGCTTCAGGTTACAGACTCCGCTAACCCAGAAATAATACCTCGGGTTAAGAACTTTGCTTCAGGATGAGAACAGAAAATGGGTGGCGGTGGCGCGGCAGCAGCGGGAGGCCCCATTAGCTAAAGTGGTACCTCGGGTTAAGAACAGTTTCAGGCAGTGGCGTAGCGTGGGGGGTGCAGGGGGGGCCGGCCGCACCGGGCGCAACATCTGGGGTTAGGGCAAATCCATAGGTTAGGGGGCGCAAATCCACGGGTTAGGGGGCGCAAATTACTTGCCTTGCCCCGGGTGCTGACAACCCACGCTACGCCACTGGTTTCAGGTTAAGAACAGACCTCCAGAACGAATTAAGTTCTTAACCCGAGGTACCACTGTATACAATATCACTGTAAGCATATTAAAACATTAGCTGGATTTTAAATACACTTGCAATGAACAGAATGTATGGAAAACTTAGAAAGACAAAAACTTGGAGAAGCAGTGATATGCAGCTGAAAATAGATTCAAAAGGACCCAAGTCTTGACACTTGGATTTAGAACTGATTTTGTTGTATGTGTATATTTCTGAAAATCAAATAAAAATTTATTGGGGGGGGGATAGAATAATAGAATTGTAGTGTTGGAAGGGACCCTGAGGATCATGTAGTCCAATGCAGTTGTCCCATATGGGGATCAAACCTGCAACCTTGGTATTATCAGCACCATGCTCTAACCAACTGAGCTATCCAGCCTCTATATCACAATAGGCAATATGGAACTAGAAAAAGGAGATGGGGCTAGATAGGGCGGAAAGCCTTTTTTTGTCCTATAAAAAGTGTGGTAAAGTAAGTTTCCAAAACAAAACATAATTTCAGTAACAACAGCTGCATTGTGCACAACATCTGAGTCACCACTGTGAGTGTCCTTCTACAAAAAGACAGTTTGTCCATTGCGCAGTCCAGTGCGCAGTCTGATCCTTCACAAGTTTACTTAGAAGAAGACCCCATTGCATTCGGCGGCCTTTGCATCCAAGCAACTTTGCATAGGTTTGCAGCCTGAAAGTGCCAAGGCACATCCAGGGCCAGCCCACCCATGAGGCCAGGTGAGGCGACTGCCTCAGGCAGCAGGGTCCACAGGAGAAGCAGGTCCCGATGCAGATCTTTCTCCACCTCCACCCCTTGTTCCTGATGTAGATCTTCACTCACCCCTTCTTCGCTGGGCACCATTTTGTGGTTCACCTCAGCAGGTGCCAGAATGTATTGGGCCAGCCCTGGTCGCAGCATTAAGGTTCCCACAGAGGAAATGAGCTTAGACAAACTGGAACATTCAAGGTTGCAGATGCAGATGCACAGAAGAGACCAAGAGTGAGAAGAATGTCTGGGATACAAAAAGCTTGCGGGACACAAAGTGAGAGAGCCACAAGAGCCTGGTCTCCATGTGTATCACAGTGAGGTAGCAGAAAGGACAAGAAAGGGGGTGTTGCTTACATCCCAGCTCTTCCAGCAAAATTAAATCGTTTGTGTGGGTGCTCCCTCTTCGCACACAAAGTAGCCTGATATCAGGGCCAGATTTAGGTTTGACGAGGCCCTAAGCTACTGAAGGTAATGGGGCCTCTATATGTCCCACTGTCCTTTGTCAACAACAAATTGTCGCCGTTTTTTGTGTTGAATATATGCTATATGGTAATTTATGGACCTAATAGGTATCTAAAGCCATTTGCACATGTTGCCATGCAACCAGTCCATGCAGAATGTAGGTACCCTATGTATAGAAATGAGCAAACCAGTGATAGTTTAGGGAGCAGGCTAGCAGGTGGGGCCCATTACTTACATCATAGGAGCCTTCACAACACAAAACACTTTTGCTGTATGTAGGTTTTATTTTATTTTATTTTTATCTTATATTTTGGAAATGTACATCCAGGGTTTTTTCCTTTAATTTTTTTGGGGGGCCCCAAGAGAGTGGGGCCCTAAGCTATAGCTTGTTTTGTTGTTGTTTAGTCGTTTAGTCGTGTCCGACTCTTCGTAACCCCATGGACCAGAGCACGCCAGGCATCCCTGTCTTCCACTGCCTCCCGCAGTTTGGTCAAACTCATGCTGGTAGCTTCAAGAACACTGTCCAACCATCTCATCCTCTGTCATCCCCTTCTCCTTGTGCCCTCCATCTTTCCCAACATCAGAGTCTTTTCCAGGGAGTCTTCTCTTCTCATGAGGTGGCCAAAGTATTGGAGTCTCAGCTGCAGGATCTGTCCTTCCAGTGAGCACTCAGAGCTGATTTCCTTAAGAATGGATCAGTTTGATCTTCTTGCAGTCCATGGGACTCTCAATAGTCTCCTCCAGCACCATAATTCAAAAGCATCAATTCTTCGGCGATCAGCCTTCTTGATGGTCCAGCTCTCACTTCCATACATCACTACTGGGAAAACCATAACTTTAACTATATGGGCCTTTGTTGGCAAGGTGATGTCTCTTCTTTTTAAGATGCTGTCTAGGTTTGTCATTTCTTTTCTCCCAAGAATAGCTTGTTTAGCTTGTTTAGCTTATACGTAAATCTGGCACTGCCTGATATTGTGGAGGAGGGCTGCAGTAGGAGACAGACAGTATATGATACAATCAGGGGGACCCACACTTGTGACAATATGGAAAGGTGTGGCAGTTCCCACTACCATTCATGAGACTGACAGAGGATTCCGAGAAGCAGGTAGGAATGTGTGTATGTTTACTGATGTTGCATAAATCCTCTACATATCATAATTTATTCACTGGGACTTACCAAAAGTGTGCATAAGAGTGTATAGGATTTCAGCTTTAAATATTTATAATCGTGTTAGAAGTTCAGTGGTGCCTGACTCCTCTAAACTCCTGGATCCAGTAAATGTTAGAAGCTAATCAAACCAGATAGCTTCCCGCATTCAGGCAATCACCTGGGAGATGGGTCATTAAGAGAACAAAGGAAATGGGGCTCTGGGCCAGGTGGAAAATGAGTGGGGGTTCCTCCTGCAGCTCTTAGTTTGAGGGCAGAGCTTGCTGTGATGTGGGGGAGCTTCAGGCTGGAAAGGCAGAGAGAGAGCTATGGGTGATTTCTGCTTGAATCCAAGGCTGCCAGCTCTGGGAGAAGCAGGACAATCTTTGGGCTGTTAATGCTGTGAATCTGTGATGGCCTGGGAATCCGATTCAGAGAGTGAATCGGAGGAATCCCAGCCTGCACAGGAGTCCCCGCCTCCAGGGCTGGCTGAACTGGGGCAGGGCCTTGATTCTGAGGAGCCTGCACCTGTGCCGGATCCTCAGGAGCAGGCACCAGATGAATCCATTCTGGCTCCAGTGGTGGTTGAGGACTCAGTGCCTGCAGGTGAGTCTCCCCCTGGGCCCAGTAACCCTTCAGCCTCTCCTGAACTGCAGAGGCTTAGGGCAGAGAGGCGAAGGGAACTGGTTTCTCCCAGGAGGAGTGCTCGCCTTAAGGCCAGGAGAGGCAGGGCTCCTGGGGGCCGGGACCGCCCCTGGCCTTAGAGATGATAAAGGCCAGTCAGCCCGGTCCCAGGTTGTGGGAGCAACGTCGTCATTGAAGAGCTGTTTCGGCCAGCGTCCAGTCCTGTTCCTCCAGTGTTCCTGTTCCCCGCCCGGCTTCCTGCTTCTGACCTTCCAGCGTTCCTGTTCCCCGCCCGGCTTCCTGCTTCTGATCTTCGAGTGTTCCTGTCCCCGCCTGGCTCCCTGCTTCGGACCTCGCCTCGCACCTTGTGAACTATTTCCAGGCTAGTGACTCAGGACTGAACTTTGACTACGGTAACAGTAACCTTCCCCCCGGGACCAGCACAGAATCCTTCCATCATAGGCTCAAGTTGTATTTATGTGTAAGTAAACCATATATCATAAAGACACCACAGTCTCTGTTGTGCCTCATTCCCAAAAGGAAACGTGAACCCTGGAATCTCACACCACTTGGAGATTGTGGTGGTGTGCAAAAATAGCCTTTTGTATTTAATTGATTTGCAGATAGATAGATAGATAGATAGATAGATAGATAGAGCTCCTTTTGTTGTCTTGGTTGCTTTACTGGTTTATTATTTAAACCACTTTGGGCACCTCACATTCCAATGTGGCTGCAGACTGAGGTATATGCCCCTATAATATAAATAAAGCAAAAGCTTTATGTGAATCATTGGTCTTAGGCTTGATTCATTCTGGATAATTCAAACATTTGCTCATTTCCTTGTAACATGAATGTTGGTCCTACTAAAATTTACCCTACTGTGGCCTTTTGAAATTTTACTAGTGTTTCTCTAGCATCAGCTTCATGGGAATCTGAATGACATCTTTGGGAACCTGTTGTTTCTAGGCATCATTTTGAAAATTTAAAAGGATGTCAGAAATAGGAAAGGATGTCAGAAATAGGATGTTTGCTGCATCAATTAAAAATAAGCCACTTTTTAATGCATTTTATTTATTTGCAGATATTTCCATACAACCAAATTGAAACAATTTCCACATAAATTATAATGTTGTGGCATTCTCCACATAAATTATAAGAAGATCTAAAAATAAAGACACAAACATTAATATTAATATCAATAACAATAACAATAAAACTCAACAAAGCACCGTAAACAATGCCACAACACAAGTCTGTTCAGCAGCTTTTGTAGTTGGAGTCAGTTAAGGTCTGGTGGGAAAAGGCCAGCAAGGCAGGGAGCAGACCTTACAGGACTCACAGCCAACCATGCCTCAGGACGTAAAGCTGATTTCATAAAATGATCATTTTTCAGGCTTATTGGGAAGTCTCACTCAGCTCAGTAGGACGGTTGTGTAAACATGTACAGGATCATGACCCATGTCTGATTTTGCAGAACTTCGTACACATCCTCCTTAAAAACATGCCTCAGAAGATAGGTGTTTCCATAAAAAAAGTGTGTGCGT